ATAGGCAATCTGATTGGGCGATGTAGCTGTCGGTTGAGCAACATATTACTCACATATAACATATACAGCTTTCTATTGGTTGAAAACACATTCGGAGTAACAATAACCAAGACTTTGGCACAAGCCAAGTACCAGTGGTACTGTAGTACAGTTGCGGCCACGCTAAGCAAAGCCTCCCCCAAGGACAAGCAGAGGACAAAAGGCAAGGCAAGTGCCAAAGGTCGAAGATACAAGCGTAAAGTTCCATCTGTTGCCGCCCCGGTCATCCATGTTGACGAGAACGAAGAAGTCGAAGGACAAGATGCCAACTCGTTCTTTGATCATACGTCCGTCCTGGTGGAGCCGCCAACGAAACCCAAGCAGAACAACACTCACCCAACGGACACTGCCGAGTCCACGGCAGTGTCATGGAGCCACAGCAGGTGCCGCTCCGTCGCTGGAAGCTACGGCACGGACGGGCGAGCCTTCGGCCGCCATGAAAGACTTTGGCGGGAGCATTGATGTTGATCTGGTGACGCGGCACATGGCCTTGTTGACGGCACCGACGGCGCCGTCTCTGCCGCTCCATGTCGAGGACATTCCAATGTTGGACAACATCATGGACGACGAGCAGCATGCCGCCGTGGAAACAGAGAAGTACGAGAGAACGTGGCCAGCGGGCAAGATGTTTGGCGACGATGACAAGGACGTCGACCCCGACCAAACGACTTAGATCAGAGTAGACATCACTGCTGCTCAACAGCCTAGTAGTAGAACGGCGATTAGTTGCTGCTCAACAGCCTAACGTTAGAAGTAGAACGGTGATTAGTTGCTACTCAACAGCATAGTAGTAGAACGGCGATTAGTAAGCGCCTCGGATAGGACTATGTACCGGTACGTATGTTGCTACTAACGTTATTAAGTACTTCTAGTACAGTAGTAGTAGTAGACATTATTCATATCGTTATTCTACTAAAATCCTGGGGACCTTGCATTCACAATAGCAACCCAGGCAGCCAACGGCAAAGCTTCTGTATCCTTTTCTGTAAGAGCCAATCAAATCCACGTCGTGTCCTCACGGTTCATGTCCTCACCTCGTCAGAGACTTCTCTAAAAACCAACATACGACATTTGGACTTTGTATTGAAAATGAAGAGTCATCTACCAATGAAAGGTACGAAGTACTCCGGAGTATTGAAATTTTAACCAATAAGACTAATGTCGGATAGAATTGTCGTATTCGCCAAGTTATCCATACATATTTTTGTGTGGTTAGGTTATGTAATTTCAGCAGGTTTATATTAAATCTAGACAGGTAATGCAATTATACAGTTGTGAGTAGCTACACTGTCAGTGCCATAAAGCCAAGGCTACATCATTCCAAACCTCTCACATCCCTGCCCGAAAACTCACAGCCTTGCTCATCATAGTATCGCAGGGCACTGTCTCAATCTTCCGAGCACCATACTAACTGTAAATAGTACGTTCCATCTACTATGAAGGTTTCAAGAATGACCAATACTGTGATCAGAAACCGTCCAGAAAATCGATGCACTACCTTAGTCCTAGTAGTAATTCATCCTCCTTTACCAGTATACAATTTTGGTCGCACACTGCCGCGGCTCGCCACCACACGCCTCACCGCAGACTTCCTATACTACAAGTGCAAACTACACATTACAAGCCCACGTTGAAGTAGTGGTTGTTGCCAATAGCATAGCCAAAGGTGGAGCCGGTGCTCAAGCCCAAGTACAACGCCATGACCATCAACGCCGACGCCGCTTGTCGGTCGGCTTGCGACACCATCAGAGGCGCCATGCCAATCGTGACGGTGGCGAACATGCCGCCAGTGATACCGAACAAGAAGTACATGATGATTTGCCAAAACAAGCCAAACGTTTGGGCGTGGATGAACGCATACAACGGCGACGCGTACAGCCCCATCAACAACAACGGCAGCCACACCCACCGAGCAAACGAAATGACGAAAATGGACTTGGCCGAGAAGAAGCTCCAGACCACCTTGATGTTGCACAAGTACCGGCCGGCCAAGTCGCCAAAGCTAAACGAGGCGATGATGCCGGGGGAGCAGTACCATGCGATGGCGTTGCTCTTGGGGTCGATCACATGCATACTAGACGTGCACCCGATGCCAGGGAACAAGGTCAACGTGCAGAAAAACATCATGTACTGGGCCACCAAGGGCACGGCAATCAACTTGGCCACTCGAAAGTAGTTGGACCAAAGTTCTCGCAGTGACACCAACGCCTTCTTCTTGTGGTCGCGGTCCGCGCGGTCGAGCAAGTACTTGACGGCAGGGATGTTGGACAGCTTTTCGTGGATGTAGATGGCCAAAAATGACACTAGGACCAAGAGCCCCATAAACAAGTAAAAGCTCACGTTGACAGCCGTGGAGCCACTTTCGCTCTTGTATCCACCCACGATGAGACGGATGATCGTCGCTGCCACCACGTTGACGCAACCGGCCATCGAGTCTCCGATTTGCACGGCGTTGGTGAACTTCTCGTCAGGGAACAAACCAGCAATGATGTACAACACGGGCTCACTCACGGAATGCGCCGCCCCCGACACTGCAAACATGCTCAGGCACAGGTACGCCCCTGTGGTTTCAGACAAGTCAAACCAGTCGTGGATGATGATTACGACCCCCGTGGCCGCGATGAGGGAGAAACCAATGATCATGCGCAGGCGGTGGCCCAATGCGTGGTCCAGCCCGCCCCACATTTGGATGACATAGCCCAAACTCAACGGCCACGTCAAGAACATGGTGGTCAAGAACGAAAACTTGACGGACGGGTACTTGGTCGCGTAGAAGTCTTGGGCTGACAAGCACGAAAAGTAGGCCCACATGACGGCGCCATCGAGGAAGAAGAACGCGTAGTAGATCCAATTGTACTTGGCTTTCAGTTCATCCAGCACGGCTTGCGGGATCTCCTCCGACTCGGTTTCAAACTTGTCCAATGCATCCACGTCCTTGATGTTCACGGGCGTCGCGGCGGCGACGTACTCAACTGCCATGTTTTCCAGGGATTGCAAATTGAACTGTGTTGGCCAGAATTTTACTACTACATGTAGTACTCGTACGTACTATGTAGTACTACTGTAGTAGCCGCTTGGAATGCTTTCTCAACCATCCAAGCGAGAAGAGCCATCGGGGAACGTCAATGGCCGCGCGATTTTGCATGCTAAATTCTGCGCCGTTTGAAATCTCGGCACCCTTTGATTGGCTGCCCTTTCACAGTCGAATGTTGAACGATTCTTGAAATGTTGAGGGCAACTCTGCATGCTTGCATGAGACATACCAGACATAGTACTACCGGTAGAGTAGTACCAGTTTAAGTGAAGCTCTCAATCATTACGACCGTTACGACCTCAAAACTTCAATGTTGAAGCACCTCAGCTATACCAGTATATTTATAGATCCAACAACCAGAGCTCCATACCATCCATGGTAGCAAGAACGTTGCATTTTGCTGCAAATCGAGCCATCCACTTTTACGACCAAGCTACAAAGACGTCAAATTTGCTACCACAGTCCAATTGGGCATCACCTAACTGTAAGTATCTTACCGAAACTATACTACCGGTAGTACTGTACTGGTAGTACTTACTACAGTACTAAGTTTACTCCAGTGTACGAAGTACATACTACTGGTAGTCTGTAGTACTATACTAGTACTATTAATAGTAAGTTTACTCCAGTGTAGTACAGTACTGTACTACTTCCTGTAATAGCACATACTTCGAAGTACATACACTGTATTAATACATATGTACAGTACAAATCGGAGTTACACGAAGACCACAAAAACTAATTCCAACAGAAGGGGCTTCAATCTCGCAGTAAATCGCAAGGTTTAAAGTACGCCGAGTATGAATATGAGCTTGTAGTGGCACTGAAACATGGTAAAATCGATAACGTTACATCGTACTACTGTATCGTCTTTTTCTATGCAGTTTTCCCTTGGTATGGATGGTATGTACTGTCCTCACGAGTAGGCGATTACTGGTATGTACCCTCATGGGCATCGATTGCGCGGTTCAGAAGATTCCAGCTACAGTATAAGGAGTTATCCAATGATTTGTTGAAATGCGAAATAACCTGCATTGTAATGCCACATGCAACGTAGGAATCCATACGGCAAGATGTCTGTCTCGGTGATAACGAAGTATCCTTGGAAGGAAAAGCAGGAATAAAGAGGCGTGCATAATACGTTCAACCTGTGAACGAAGGGGGGGGGCAAGGGGCATTGTATGGGGAGGCCCAAGCTGGGGGCCAAAAAGTACAGTGTTTGAGTGTGTAGCATCCATCCTTCTTGGGTGCCCAACCTCGCTGCAACTGTGATGATACGCTGAAATGTGTGGTGAGGGAAGAATTCCATTTCCCCCTAGACGTACAAAGTTGCACTACAGTAGCTACGCCCCCGTCCGTCTAAGATCTTGAACAATTGCATTGTGAAATCGAGCGATGTTAGCAAAAGCATGAATACCATGGGCGCAACTACTCTTGATGCACACACAGTTGCAATAAATTTTTGTTTCGTTCTTGTCCATCCCGCACGCTTTGTGGTTGTGTGTTAGGGCTGGCCAGTGGAAATGTCCACAAACGACAAGTCGGTGGCCGTGGCCTCCAACTGCCACTCCGCCTTCAAGTGGTCGTCGTTCCAGAACTTGGTCAAGTGACGTTGTCCTGAATCACACAACACTGTCACGATCTCATGTCCAGGGCCTAATTTCTTGGCCAAGCGGACGGCGGCAACACAATTCACGGCGCTGGAACTGCCAACAAAGAGCCCGTCTTCCCGCAAGAGGTGCCGAGCCATGTTCACCGCGTCAGCGTCCGACACGACGTACGCGTCGTCGACATGCGCGAGGAGAAAGTTGGCAGTCAGACGATCGATGCCGATGCCTTCGGCCACTGTATCGTACCGATGGCGCCTCACTGTACGTTCAGATTGTTGTGGGGCGTAGCACACATTGTGTCGAACCTACAAGTGTTCAAGCATGTGACAACTGTATTTCGACAACGCGCGCACGTACTTTGTTATACAAACTCGATCCTGGGGGGTCGGCCAACACGATTTGAATGGCCGGGTTCATTTCTTTCAAGTACCGAGACACCCCTGCAATCGTGCCACCCGTGCCTACAGACAGACGTGTGAGATTTCGCAGCAACAGTGTCGCACAAAAAACCATTGGTGGGTGTCATACCGGCAGACATGACAAACGCATCGAGCGCTCCGTGGGTTTGCTGCCATATTTCACGGCCAGTGGTGCGGTAGTGGATGTCCGTATTGGCAAGGTTTTCAAACTGGTCGGCAAAGTACCCACCTACATAGGACATGGTCAAAGGTTCGTATCGCCACGGGAAAGTGGAGGTAGCTACGTACCTGGGATTTCACTGGCGCGACGACGAGCTTGGTTGACGTAATGTTTGGCGTTTACGATCGAAGCTGGCTTGACAAACTCGACGGTAGCTCCGAATTTCTGCAACAACTCGCCTTTTTCCTTGGCTTGGTCGTCTGGCATGACGATCAGACAATTGTAGCCCTTGGCTACAACTCATTCATCAGCGTCCACATCGAACGATACAGCGCTACCTAACCTCTAGCCAGAAGCGCCAAACTGATGCCAGTGCTGCCTGACGTCCCTTCTACGATCGTGCCACCAGGTCCAAGTAACCCTCTCGCTTCGGCATCTTCGATAATGCCTTTGGCAACGCGATCTTTGGAGCTGCCACCAGGATTCAGAAACTCTGCTTTGGCCTACAGTACGTCAGCTGTCGTCGACGTTTGTTGGGTTTGCGTGGTACGTACGTACCAGGATGCGACAACCCGTTGCCTTGGACAGACTGGGAATCAGCACGAGCGGAGTGTTGCCAATGAGTCCTCCATGACCGTCACGGACGCTGGCGGCTGCTTCGCCCGATGGCTTAGCGTGATTACTCTTCCTCGACCATATCCAGTGGTACAACGACACCGCCGCAACTGCCGTCGCAAGGGATGTGCTGCACAAGAGTGCCGGATGTAGCATGTGAGTGAATATTGTCGATTTGATACAAATTTGGGGAGGTGGTGCAATCGAATCGCGCCAACCAAACCGATCCACAATCGATCTGATTGGTTGAATTTCATTGAGAAGGTTTTGATTGGCTAGTAATTTTAAGCTCATCTGAAGTAGCCAATCAAATCGATTTAAATTCCAACGAGAAACCACTCCACAACACGAAATTTCACTCGAAAGCACAATACGCAGACCGATTAATTTAATTTTCAAACGAAAACAAAGCCGACACACGGATTTTATAACCAATCACATGTCGTAATCAACTTGGTAAGGTGGACTTGAAGTTCATAGTAAGTTTGTAGAGATTGCTTCAATTCCCTAAAAGTACGATACGGGCTAGATACGGTCGACGCGATTGGCTAACGTTATTTTGAATTTATCATTTTTCGTACCTTTCCAGTCTGCTGGTCATCAAATCGCAAAATTCTCCACATCGACCAAGCCTTATAGAGGGTCCACAAAATTGCGCACACCGCAGTGTAGCGGAGGTTATGTGTATAATTTTGTGCAGCTGGTGGTGCCTTGGCGAGGAATGAGCCCCAATCGTGCACGTCACCGAAAAATGTCCTATCGATACGGGAAAAAGCGGAAGGTGTTGTACATAGTCCGTACACTGTACTGCCACGACTTTGACTTGGTATTTGTATTGATCACCAATAAATTTGTTCGTGTTAAGTACGCCTCGGTATTCCGTGTGGTTTCCACGGTACTTCAAGTCCGCGGACCTACAAAGATGCACAAGGCAACCTCCACGCCTACGACGAATGTGTACGTCTTGACCTGTTGCGCATGCATTGGCGGGTTCCTCTTTGGCTACGACACAGTACGCTTATCATCCTCGATAGTCACGTCATAACATTTGGCGGTTAGGGAGTCATTTCTGGGGCGTTGGTGTCGATGCAAGCCTCGGGGAACCAGTTTCTCTTGACTCCGTGGCAGTCTGAAACAGTCGTGTCTGCGGCCATCCTTGGCGCGATCGTTGGAGCTGCTGCGGGAGGCTTTGGCAACGATCCCGTGGGACGTAAACCCATGATCTTGCTCTCGTCTGCTCTCTTTACAATTGGCGCCATCGCAATGGGACTCGCCAGCACGGTCACGGCACTCGTCGGCGGTCGTTTCGTCGTTGGCATCGCCATTGGAATCTCCTCCATGACCATTCCAGTGTACATTGCAGAAACTTCCCTGCCAGGTGCATACACTTCGTCCATCTTGCTCCATGTTGACGCGTGCATAGAGTTCCGAGGCACGCTTGTGTCACTGAACACACTGATGGTCACATTTGGTCAATTCTTCGCCACTGTGTTTGATGGAGTGCTCAGTTCGACACCCGATGGATGGCGGTACATGTTGGGCGCGGTGGCGTTGCCATCCTCGATCCAATTCGTTGCGTTTCTCGTGTTGCCAGGTCTGTGACAACGTCACGTTGCACTTTATGATATGTCATGATGACAAAAAATGACGCATTGCCCTTAGAAAGCCCAAGATGGCTCTATGACAAAGGACTCGTCACTCAAGCACACGATGTTCTGGCACACCTCCGTGGTCAAAAGTCCGACTCGTTTGAATTGGAATGGGCGACAATGCTGCAAATCAAGTCCCACCAATCACAATCGTCCTCGTGGCAGGACCTGCGCCATCCTGCTGTCACCCGTGCCCTCGTCTTGGGCTGTGGACTTCAAGTACCCCCCCCAGTATACATCAAATCATTGTACCTGATGTGGAATTGTCGATGAAGGTCCTGCAACAACTCTGTGGCATCAACACGGTAATGTATTACGGCGCCACAATCATGCAAATGGCAGGTTTCTCTGACCCGTCCACGGCCATTTGGCTCGCCGCGGTCGTTGCACTTAGCGACTTTGCATTTACATTTGTTGGCATCTACCTTGTAGACAGGTACGGCACCGTGGATACTTGAAGTTGAAGGCTCCTCTGTTCATTTAGACTTGGACGCCGTCCGCTGACTCTAGGCAGCTTGCTGGGCGTCACTGTATCGCTGTTGGCCCTGGGAGGAGCATTTTATATGGCGAGACTCACGTCGATGCAATTACGTGGTGGCGACTCAAACGACGGTTGTGGTCGTCTCACCGCTTGCTTTGACTGCGCGGCGAGCGCAGCATGCGGCATCTGCGACGCTGTGTGTGTGCCTGGCACCGCCACAGGACCTCAAGGCTACTATTCGTGTTTGTCGTATACGTACCAAACGTGTCCAAGCCAGTCGACTGCGGTTGCATCGTCAATGTGGCACGTCGTGATTGTGGTCGCGCTGTTTGTGTATTTGGCCTGCTTTGCCAGTGGCATGGGTACACGACGAACCACATTAAGACGACAGAAGGCCAACTGTTATGTCCTTAGGATGCATGCCGTGGACAATCAACGCCGAAATCTACCCCCTGCATGTCCGCAGCGTGGCCATTGGCGCCGCCACGACCGCCAACTGGGTCTCCAACCTGCTTGTGTCGTATACGTTCCTTACGATTGTGGCCGTGTTGGGTCCACATGGCGCGTTCTGGCTTTACGCGGCGATTGCGGCGATGGGTGGAATGCTTGTGTTTGCGCATTTGCCAGAAACGAAAGGCGTGCTTCTCGAAGACATCCCGAGGCTATTCCTCCCGCCAGACCACGCCAACTACGAGCCTCTGCCGTAGTAGGCACGACGCGGAACTCGCTCAATGCTGGTGACGCCGCTCACATTGGATGCATGCCTTCGTTGTTCAACAACCAGAAGATCTTTCGCCATCAATCAATAATCTGACCAAGCATTTAGAAACTAAGAACACTCGATATAGTGTGAGGATATCGTACATCATATTAAACGTACGATGTACCCTTTTAAAGTGAGTTTTTGTATTTATATGTAACATTACGTACGTGGTGTAATGTACGCTGTTGTCACGAATCTTCCCTCTGACAAACACCACATTTGAATTTGCGCAAATCATGACTCTGGTTCCACTGCGCATTGGATTGTTTGGCTGCGGCACCGTCGGCGGCGGTGTGTTCCAAATCCTCGAGTCCCGCGCGGCCTTCCTCAAGAGCATCGGGGTGAACGCGACGATTGAGAAGATCTGCGTGCGGAATGCTACCAAGCCCGAGTTGGTCGCGCTGGTGAAAGGCCACTCGACGACCATCACGACCAAGTACGACGACATCTTGGACGACAGCTCGATCAACTGTATCGTGGAGCTCATGGGCGGCGTCACGGACGCGAAGGATGTCGTGTTCAAAGCCATCCAGAAGAACAAGCACGTGATCACGGCCAACAAGGCGCTCGTCGCGAACCACATGACCGAACTCAACGAGTTGCTGCAAGCGCACCCGACCGTCCGATTCGGTTACGAGGCGTCCGTGTGCGGCGGTATTCCCATCATTCACACGCTGCAAAGCTCTTACTCGGGTGACGTGATCAAGGAGATTGCCGGCATCATGAACGGCACCACCAATTACATGTTGTCCAAGGTACCCTCGTCACTGCATGATCGTGACCTGACAAGATGCATCCATCGATGATAGATGGAAACGGAAGGCGCGTCGTACGAAGCTGTGCTCAAGGAAGCGCAGGATTTGGGCTACGCCGAGGCCAACCCGAGCGCCGACGTCGATGGATTCGACGTCCAAGCAAAGATTGCCATCCTTGCCAAGCTTGGATTTGGCTGTGTCATCCCCCCGTCGTCCATTCCCACCACGGGTATGTATACCAACTTCTAATCCGCTTTTGACATGAAATCCACGAACGAACGACCGACGAATATATCGACGACGACGGCAACCTTGCGTTTTCTGCCGTGGCCTCACATGTGTTTTAGGCATTACCCGCATCAAGGCGATTGATTTCGAGTACGCGCAGCTCATGCACAGCACGATCAAGCTGTTGGGCGTGGCCAAGCGGTCGAACCCCCACGCACCCAACGAGATTTCCGTGTTTGTGTCGCCCATCCTCGTGCCCCGCAGCAACGTGATCGGGTCGTGCGGCGGCGCCAGCAACATTGTCAACGTCGTGTCGGACAACTGCATCAATGGGGCGTACGTGGGCCAGGGCGCCGGTCGGTTCCCCACGGCCAACTCTGTCGCGAACGACATTGTGCGTCTCGCGCAGGGCGTCGTGCCGCCGGCGGCGTTTGCCGCCACCCAGCAGGTGACGATCCAAAATGACTTTGCGGGCAAGTTTTACATGCGCATTCGCATCTCGGACGGACTCGGCATTGTCCGCCGCGTTGGCGAAGAAGCCGAGAAGGCCGGCATCTCCATCGACTCGATCTTGCAACTGCCCATCCAGGACCGACGCAACGTCGACTTTGTTGTCACGACGGACGTGACTCAACTGTCCAAGGTCCACGTCATGGCCAAGGGCATCGAAGGACTTCCGTTTGTGCTGGAACCGCCGCTGTTTTTGCCCATCTTGTAAACAAGGTCTTGGCCATAATACGATATGCATATATTGGCTTCAGTGGGTAGGTACTAACTAGCTGGAACCCACATGGAAACGGGGAGGCTACAGAGTACAGTATTATACAGAGTCAATCCTCGTGATTCCTTGTCACGCTGGGGTTGCTCCAAGTGGAAAGCATCATTCATTATGACACTCAATCGGAAGTTGATGTGTTATCGACGCCAGCAGTAAGAATAATGCGCTGTCATATGTCTATAACGTTACGAATGTCTTAACGTTACTAGTATTGAATAACTATACTATAACGTTAATGTTATCAAGAATATCTTAACGTTATAGAATAACTACAGTATACTATGAAGTACTGTATAACGTTAACGTTTTCAAGACAAATCTTAACGTTATAGAATAACTATACTAGAACGTTAACGTTATTAAACGTTATAGAATAACTATACTATAACGTTAACGAATATCTTAACGTTATACTACGTAGTAGTACTGTAACACACGATCGTGGACGAGTTGCTTCACTTTGCACATCCTTGTGTACAAATTACAATTGGGCCAGGCCCAAGTCAGTCCGTTAGAAGGAGGTTGTCTTGAACCTTAAACTCTGCCATGAATGTGTACATGCTGAAACAAACACTGCTCAATATCACGAGTGCTGTAACGCGTGGCGAATGGTTAGCGATACACGAGTGCCTTGGACGACGTTGTCGATGCTGTGAAGGTACTGCGTGTACGCTTCGTGCATGAACACGAGCAAGCTGCGGCGCTCGACGTTCAACTCGAATGGGTCATCGGACTGGTTGAGGTGGCGAAGATGGCGTCGAAAGGTCATGACAGCGTCGGCGCCCAAGCTCACGATCGCCACGAGGGGATGGTACATGGGTCCGTCTTCATGGGGGAGGATGCAATCGCCACGTTTGTACTCTATTCACCCATGAGAAAGAGCAGGCCAAGTGGCAACGTTGACGCAAGATGGGTGGAGAGAGAGGACGACGTGCCATTGATCAACGCGTGGTTGGGGGCATGGGTCGAGTCAAAGACGCGCGTGTCCACTAGACTGGCGGAGAGCACTTGCAGCCACGATGGAAGGGGTGTCGGCGTGTACGTGTTAGTGACAGACCCGCCCCATACCTGCAGCCGACGGTGCTTGAGCTGAACCCATGCCGACGATGGCGCGGCATGCACGCGTTCGAGAATTGCGGCTTCCTCGTCCCCCGAGAGCCAATTCGGAATGTAGTACACCGAAGAAACCTTCGATTTGCACACTTGATACGAGTTTAGGTCCACTGGAAGTCTAATGCACAAAAGTCATGGTCGACGGTGAGGCCTAAGGTGCGTACCGATGTCGGAACGGCAGAGGGGTAGCGTCGAGGGTTGGACATTCGACGGCACCGTCTACAGAGGGAGACACCAGTGACTGGTCTTGGATGACGCCCGTAGCGGTAGCCTGTTGGCGAGCTGCCACCGCCTTGCGCTTCTCTTCTCGCAACAACGCCGCAAAGTCCATCGTTATCGCGATGAGTGTTCACAATGTCAGTATGTACTTCGAAGTATAAATTTTAACCAATGAAACACCAGGAATCATTCAATGCAAGTGGAAGTGATTTGCAAGAAAAAGCAAACAAACGCGATAGACACAGTTTGCTACGTATATATCGATAAAAGCTAACTTTACAACCACGTCGTGGTGCTCTTAGGCTAGGCTGTCGACTTGGTAGTCGAGCTCTTTGGATGTGGGGAGCAGTGGCTTGGTCACATCGTTTTCAGCTCCTTCGACGACTTCATGCTTTTGCAAGTACTTGAACGACCAAAACCCGAGCGGCCAGAAACACACCATGGGAATCACGGGAGACACATACACCATGGTTTGAACAGACAAGAGCACGATGAGGGTGATGCGGATGAACGCTTCGATGATCATACCGAAGCCCCACACGACAGAGAGGTACCTGGACGCGCGCTGGACGTGGGGCAGTGCGTACAATGCATCCATTTCCTCGGGTGTTTTCGAGGAAAAATGGCGACGAAACGTGAAGAACAAATCCTCGTGGAAGTACGCAACCGAGACGAAGTAGAGGATGCCAACCGTGATGGTCGACAGCGAGTCCTTGACCAGCAGCACCTTGGCGTTGTCTGTGAAGAGCATGATCACCACGGAGAACGCCGTCGAGATGATCTGGACGATCGAAATCACGTCTTTCTTGTTGTACGCAAACACTTGCACCAACGTCTTCCCCATGGGCGGAATCCCCGAAAGGAACACGGCCACAATTTGACTCGTGTGCTCCTTCGCCACGTTGAAGATGACCAACGGCAAGATCAAGTTGAACACGACCATAGGCAGATGCGGCCAGTCGAGCACTCGTTGGACGACTCCCATGATGCTGCTGCTTGGCTGTCAATGAAACTCGAAGTGCATTCCGCTACTGTACCATCTTCTGTGGACGTCCTTACTTTCATGGTCGGAACAAGGTGAATTGTTTGCTGGAAAAGAATAATTCCCTCATTAAAATAGTTCCACTGTTGTTTTGACCCGAAATACTGTTTTACTGTTAATGTGAGAATTATTACATCCAGATACACCTTTCCCTGTAACCTACCCTCGGTGAGTACATATACGATGCTAAATCTCCAGGGTTAACTGCATCGCTAGTGGTTAGCTAACCACTGAGATGCAGTTAACCCCTAGTAAGAGGTGAGGTGGCCTGAGCATACAAAGTTCCATGTAAACCTCCTTGAAACAGTATTTCGGGTCAAAACGTGGAACTGTTTTACTGTTTATGAGGGAATTGTACACTGGAGAATGATTGCCCAAAAAAGGAGATAAATACCCTCACGACCGTGCTAGTACTCAAGTGTTTCATTAGTACATACAATAGCAAGATGATATGATTACGACGAGTCCAGTTTGCATGTGACAAAGACAACTGTTATCAATTGTTCCCACCAAGTGCTTCGAAAATACTACTGTACGTAGTATGTGAAACGGGTTCATTAATTTAAACCATGTCCTCCGCCCTGAGTTTACACACCATCCATGCGACCAATAGTGGGTGACACACCCACTCAATTGGTCAAAACCCACTCACTCAGGGAATTTGGTACTGTACTATTGACCTAAAACGTCCCTGAGTAAGTGGGTGGGACTAATTGCTTGCTACGATAAGTATAATCCTATCGTTAACGTGAAACACGAAGGCATACAACGTTGTACACCGTTAATCGTACCAACGGTGAATGCTACGTACGTACTGTAGGGGAGACAGTTTTTCACTAGTGGTGTTTTGGGGTTTTGCTCATGGATGTTCAGGTACTGTAGAGTTAGACATGGGGCTTCACTCGTGATTAAATGGTGTGGTGGAGTTTTACTTAGTAGTGCTGGCCATACCATACAGTTCGAATGCCTACGCGTCGATACTCATGAGGCTAGATACTGTATGCCCAAGCAATTCTCGTTAAGTTCCACAGTTTAACCACGAGCAAAAACCAACACATGACACTTTCGGTGACCACTAGTAAAAAGTCAAATGGCCACAAGTTTTTATCCTATTAGTATTGTTAAACAGAATTTATATTCAATGTAAGCTGTACCATCGCAGGTAGTAATTCGAGTAAGTACTGCTGGTGGCTCCAATTTCGAATCGATTTGACAATGTCAATGAGCATTGTCAGTTAACGTTGTTTGTGTCTCCAGCTTCACAGCATTGTCGGATGGATGCTCTTGTTTTATTTGAAGTGCTTTTAATTCGCTAGACTTACAGTTACTGTTTGTGGCAGTGACATACACGAACACAAAAATATACTTCGACAACTACAAATGCTCCTTATACGTCGAAGTTTTTCGAAGCATTAATCAATATACAAGTAACTACCTATTTCCCCCACCTTTCAGTGAGCTACGCGTAGACTTCACTTGTTTGTCGGGGTACCGGTAGTATCGTTACGTAGACTATTTTTTATTACGGGAACAATCGGATTCGAGTCGCCGACGAAGGGCTTAGTGATAGTATCAAGCTAGGGCTGCGCAACTACTATTCATATAAACTCAAATATTCTATTAATAATGTATTTCAAAGCACCAAATTAATACGTCACAATAAAGCCCCCTGTCCGCCCCCCCAAATCTAGTACATGGCTTACATCGTTATTATATGTATGTACAAAATATAGCTTGGATTGGGGCTGCGTTCAGTTGGTAAAATAATATATATACTACGTACTGTAGTAGGCATAATTTCGGCCGGGCGTAGGAAGATGTGCTTTGTGTTAGGTGATTTGTAGATGAGGAAGTGGATACATACAATCTCCATAGCACTTTGCGAATTTCACTGCAGTAGTCTCGATGTCAATTCTCCGGAGATTGTAACCTCGAAACCTTGTTAACTTTGGGGGATGATGCCAACAATGTAGTGACTTCAGAAAATCCCAGCTTTAATGAGAATATGATGCAATGCTGTGAGATTTGCAGGTTGATTTGCTGGGTATTTGCGCTATGATACATCTTCGCGCCCCCTCATAGTACAGAATTCAATGTGGTCATGGGGGAAGGACTTTGAACAGTAAAATAAGGGGGGGCAACTAGCATTCAATCAATCCCAAGTAATATTACACCTCAAATCAGTACCATATTACCACCGTGTACCAGTTCCCTTCACTTATCCCTACATGTACTGCAGTTTTTTCACTTATTGAGCGATAATTTTCGTTTAGAATTTCGTTAAGTGCTCATTATGACTATCGTATATCGCTAGTAAACACATACACCTTACTGTCGATGGAACGGGAGGTCATCAAGGCTTGAAACTATAAATTTTCAACTACCAAACGTTTGAAAATCAAGTGAAGCATAATTTTCGGGAAATAATCTCAAGTGGCCATGATCAACACTACAAATGCTACGACAATCTAACCCTCAAATAATGCAAGCCATGTTTTTATTGCAGCAACTCGTTCCATGAACTACCGTACTAGTATTGCCGCAGAGCTGAGCACTTAGGAAATCACTGCAATAAATAAATTTGTCATATTCTCATGCACAATCAAATACTATACGTATAGTAGCAAAAACAAAAACAAACAATGACTCTTCGGGTCGATACTTGACCATTCGCAACGTGCAACAATGCTCATCAATGAGAAACGACGCCGTTGATTCAACACATCAAAATGACAAATCAATAAGTTAACGAACGTTACAAGGACAATACATTGTGCCAAGTCTTTCGTGTCGTAGCGTTGCGCGTCAATAAATAGGATCTATCCAAGTGCTGTAATTCGCATTTTCATGGCTGTTAAACTATCACAACTTACAGTTAACGTACCATTGGGGATGCCCGTAAGGGACTCGTCGCGGAATGGTCATGGGATATTTCTGTATATTTATGTCCATATAAGAGACTGGTCGCGGAAATAGCTAACGTTATGTTGATGAAATGAATGCAAGAAGTACAGGGGGATAGCTACGTCCTTATTGGTGCTACGTTGCGCACTTATGTAGGATTTAGCTAATGAGATGTGACAACACTACGTAGCTAGTAAAACTCTAACACGATTACCTTCGCAAAGATATCGGGCCCACGGCTTGTTTGCTTGTTTTACGTTAGCTATGATGGAGTGATATTACACTTACTGGGCTGCTTGACTATGAAGCAACAATCCAGTAATGCCCACTAAGTAAAACTCCACCACACCATTTAACCACGAGTGAAGCCCCATGTCTAACTCTACAGTACCTGAACATCCATGAGCAAAACCCCAAAACACCACTAGTGAAAAACTGTCTCCCCTACAGTACGTACGTAGCATTCACCGTTGGTACGATTAACGGTGTACAACGTTGTATGCCTTCGTGTTTCACGTTAACGATAGGATTATACTTATCGTAGCAAGCAATTAGTCCCACCCACTTACTCAGGGACGTTTTAGGTCAATAGTACAGTACCAAATTCCCTGAGTGAGTGGGTTTTGACCAATTGAGTGGGTGTGTCACCCACTCACTGGGGGAATTGGTCCCATCCATGAGGTACGTGACACAAGCAAACGCGATGTTGGTAACTTACAGTACATTTGTACCTGGTAACGTTACCCGCAATCTATGCAAGGCAACCTTGTAACTTTTGCTTTACACACTAACGTTACCTTGACAGCACAGTAGCTACAGTACATTCATCGGCAATTGATCCTGTATAGCAGGACTGTAGTGGACATTCACATGAACTACCAGGGCAATGGACCTGACCATGTCGTGTACTTGTACTGGCTGTGGTTTTGTCAACCCAACAATCATTTGGTTTTTGAGCTTGATTTACCGACCATCCTACTGATCAATTCATTCACACGATAGCTGCCCCCGGGGGGGGACTCTCCCCTCCACCTTTTTGAGTACGTAACTGCTCCCGTGAACAACGGTTATATTCGACACAGTTGTACACACCATAATTTTATTGTGCACAGCCAGATTAAACGCACATTTTAGCCAATAGATATCGATATTGAACAGCCAATCCGGTCCCTGATTTTGTGGTATACCATGGGACAAATACAGTACCCACCCAACACGGCTGCAGTATTATTTGCCGATCGTGGTGGCTAACGAGCCAAACGATCAGAGTTGTGCGTGGTATGCATCCCATAGACTCGCTGCAGGACATCAACCGATTCTGCTGCAGCGTGCCAACACCCTAACTGTTACCACAGAAACACCACCTTCGCCGACATAACCGTACGAACGGTGTCTCAATGCATATATTGGTCGCTTGCGTTGGCGAAGGACTCGCGTGCTTAGGGCATCCCCACTGGTGCGACAGTATACTATACTACGTACTACACCTTTTTGCAGTTAAGTTGGACGAATGCCCGATGTATTTGGCCGTGCACCCGATATATTTGGTGGTGTGCCCGATATAATTAGCCATGTGCCCGTTTAATTTGGCCCGCCGAGGTCGTGTGCCCGATATTGTATTTGGCGGTGTGCCCGATATAATTGGCCATCTGCCCGATGAAAATAGAATAACTCAAATTAAAAATTGAACTCAATTAAAAAATGCAGTCGAAATGATACACATAACATCCTCGTTTTGGCATCACATGCCAACTTCCATGTCGTCCATAGCCTCCGCGCGTCCGTAAAAGTATTCGAGGCGAAGCGCATATCGATTCAAACGATTAGCATCGACCCCTATTCAAACGTTTAAGCAATGCAATAATGCTGCGAAAGTTACCATCGATAACCTGTTCAGCAATTCGCTCGAGATATTGAATTTGGAATTCATCTCGAGTCAAACCATCCGGTGGTAGGCCCATGAACGCTGCTAGTCGCTCACGCAGGAGTGTCTTGACTTGGGCTTTCATCGACGACCACAAATTCTCGATCGGATGCAA